CAGACAGGCCGGTGTCTGTCAGGTGTAGGAGCAGGACCAGGGTATGAATGTTTATGGGGAGATAGTAAGGGACATTTCTAGGAGCCATTTCGATGCGTGCCTCTCTCATGAACCTGAAGAAATGTCCACCACATCACCACTCCCTCACACCAACTCCCCCTCACACCTCTCACCTCTTACTGCCCCCAAGAAAGCTCCTGGCAAACGTCGAGCCAGATACACCAATGCTACAAGGAGGAGGCAACTTAGGAATGCAGGAAAGACATTTGTACATAGTACTCCTGCAGTGCACTGAGCTGCACAGGCCAAGTACCAGCAAGATCACCCTGATGTGCTCAGAACAACACAGTCTCCATATGAGCAAAACAATCCAGGAACACAAGTAGAGAGGCCGTCACTTTCATGGAAGGTAGCAGGAGTTGACTTAACAGATGATTGTTTCTTAAATGGACAGTTCTATGTGGCCTGCTCCAGAGTGAGCTCATCAAGCAGCCTGGTGATCCTAGCACCTGAGGGCAGAACCACCAATGTGGTCTAGAGAGAGATCTTTCAGTAGAGAGAGAGAAAGTACATATGTCTCACTTCATTTCTTACACTACAATCTTCTCTGTTAGAGTCCCTACAACAAATGTCACATTTCAGATTTCACATCATCAGTATTATAACTGGATTTACAGAACTTAAATACCGTAGCGAAGCACGGGTATCAGGCTAGTATTAGATATTTGGAACCTAATAAAAAGTGCCACACTTCAGGGAACTATGTGCACTCCTCTTTCTAACTGGGTACCAGATATCCAATTTTATTACATTTCCTAATGGAGGAAAACAATGTACATATTTGGAAAGTTCAGTCTTCTTCGTAAAGAAAATTTTTGAGAGTATATTTTTCTTAACTATTTAGGATGTACAAAGGGTGTTTGGTTTGAGAACATTGCGTAATACGCTGTCCCTTGGTATGACTGTGTCTGTATTCTGTCAGTTTTATAAGCAAGTTGTCACTTTTTTGTCGGGCCTGCTGGGTAAATCAGTGCAAGTCTCATTTTTTACCCTCATAAAAGTGAAATGTGAGATAGCCACACTTCCCCTGAGGTAACCTTGTTTCAGTAGTTTCTCAGCATAAACATAATCATACTGGTGGTTTTGTGGTCAATAAAATTCCATGGTCTCATGATCACGCAGCTTATTTTGGATAAGGGGTGTTAAAAATTGTGTGATGTATGTATCTTGTTTCAATTCAAAGGTGATCAGTGTGCCTCTTCAGTGTCTTGCATTTCACTTTTCCCTCAGTTCCTTGAATTATTAGATGTACCCTGTTTCCCCGAAAATAAGACCTACCCCAAAAATAAGCCCTAGCAGGATTTCTATGCATTTGTGGTATAAGCCCTAGTGTGTCTTCTTGAGAAAAAATAAATATAAGACAGTGTCTTATTTTCGGGGAAACACGGTAAAATGCAGGAAGGAAGATGCCTTCTCCAGGTGGAATCTTCTTTGGATCCAGCCCACTGTTTCTATAAACAATCCTCTTTTAATTTCAAATTGTTAGTGTTACAAGAAAGCTTCCTTGCTCAGTTTTATCACACTTTTTCTGAGGAGCTTAAAAATAAAATTTACTTGAGTGTAGTAGATACAGTATTTTCCTCTTGCATTGTAGTTCTTTTTTCCTTTTTAAATTAAAATGTTTTGAAGCTCAGTCATCCTCGAACAACTTCACATATTGAAATGTCTTGATAGAAAATGAAATCGTAGCAGGTTGTCTAATGTTTTTATACAAATTCTGGAAGATGTCTCAGTTCATTTTCACTAGATCCTAGAAATCTGACAGAGCTACAATATTTCTGATAGTTTAAGTTGACATCAAACATAGCAGCACTGGTGTCAGACTTTTTTTATACCTTCCTGAACCATTTTGTTCTCAGCAGTCAGATCTGCTCTGTTTAACATGATAGGAACAGCAAGACAGAACTGTGCTTACAAATGAATCTCTTTCAACTCAGGACAACTCTTGCATGTGGTACAATGTGGACAACTCTTGCATGTGGTACAATGTTTAACATATCAGACTATCAAACAGGTTGCTATATATCTGGACATCTAAGTAGTCCCCAAGTGAGCAATGTAAGTGTTGCTTAAGTGCCACCCCAGGCTTTCAAAGTTTCCCCTCTGCTTTCATTAAATCCTGCTTTCATCACTTCCTAGTCCGAAGTGGCAGCCATCATAATAGTGTATTACTTGGCCAAACAGTGTAGCAGACTACAGAGGCTTGCACATGATCTGTCTTCTCACAAGATGGAGAAAGGCTAGGGGCTTATATGCAGGAACAGGAGAGGTAACAACAACAGAGGGTAAGTGCCTACCCCTTAGCATAACTGGGTCCCATGTTTTCCAAGCTCTGTATTTTCCCTCAGCCATTTTCATAAATCCTAATCACAGCTCCCAGTCATAATTCACTAGCTGTTTCCTTTCCCTGAAGGAGTGATTGATCCTACTTAGTTGCAGTTGAGATGAGGAATCTTCCTCTGTGTAACATAACTTTGAGGGGGGAAATCTGTTATCTGTGTGATATCTGACAATATTTGCACCCTAATAAAAACATCTACTCCTGCCAACCTAGCAGTTCGAAAGCAAGAAATTGCAAGTAGATAAATAGGTACCACTTCAGTGGGAAGGTAACAGCATTCCGTGCGCCTTGGTGTTTAGTCATGCTGGCCACATGACCATGGAAATATCTTCAGACAGCGCTGGCTCTTCGGCTTTGAAACGGAGATAAGCACCGCAACCCTAGAGTCGGATTCGACTGGCTTTCGAGCAAGGGAACCTTTACCTTTTTTTTTTTTTTACTAAAAACATCTAGCTACCCATAGGTAGCTTGTTACAGTTCTTTTTAGCTCTTCTGTGTTGAGGTCTTCCAACACATTGGAATGTCACAAGATTAACCAAATCGTTTTTCAGCAAATAGATGGATTTTTGTGCTGTTCAGAAACAGCACCACGCTTCTTACAAATGTATCATTCCTGTCCAGTTCAACCATCTTCTTCTCCCCTTCTGAAGAAGTAAGCAATGACCTCATACTCTGCCACATATTTTGTTGGTCTTTAAGGTGCTGCTGGACTCTTGCTCTTTTCTGCTGCTACAGACAGACTAACACAGCTGCCCATCTTGATTTATCCCCTTCCCTTGCACAGTATCTATTGCAATAAACTCTTACTGGACAACAGTTAAGAACATAATAAATGTTAAAAATGGCTGAAATACTGAATAGTAGTCTAAAATCTGTTTTCTAGCTTCAAACTCCTTAATTTGTGAATAAAACTACTTATGCCTTAAAGCTTGAGAAGAAGAGATTCATTTTGAGGGTTTTATATGCTAATATAATAACTTCCTAAATTTTTCCTCCAAATTTTAGCTTTTGTCAGGAGTGACAAGCCGAAACTGTTCAGGGGACTACAGATCAAGGTATGTACTGATTTTTATATTTGGTTCTCTTGTCTCATCATTTAGTTGTTGTTGTTGTTAGCCATTCAGTCATGTTTGACTCTTGGCGATTCTATGGGACAGCTCTCTCCACGTTATTTTATACCTCATTAAATATTATTTCTGTATAAACTAGATGTCCATCTGGTATATCTGTAGCATATTTAGTGGGAGATAACCGGTATTTTCAGGTGGGACCAGACTTAGCTTAATACAGAGAGGATGATTAGGGTGAATGTGGGTTTGATTGCATTTTCTTTACTGGAACAGCTGTCTTGACGAGAGTGACTTTTAATAAATCTTGCATTAAAGACTGGCAGATGCATATATAACATCCCAGATTTAAGTTTCAGAATCAGTGTGGTATTGGTAAAGTATTTCCAAATTCTCTTTGTTACAAGCTTTTACAAATCTAGTTGACAGATGTATGAGGCCAGCAGTACACACATCCTTTCTGCCCAATTTTCCATGAATTTCAAAGGACACAGAGGAGGTCTTCTGTTTTATTGAGCTTTGGAGCTGGTGGAAATTTTTCTGTGCCTTGAAACCTCCCCAGAGATTTTGGACCTTTGAATCAGTCTTGGGAGAAGAAGTATCCGTTGCAATCCCAAATAATGGTTGGTTGCTGAGCCAAGCCAAAATTTGTTGATCTCAATTTAGCTGTCACTGCTGCTGTTCTTCACCCCTCTTTTTGAAGATTTCTATGTTTTTGCCAGCTTATCTTTTTCTTGATTTGGCTGTTTTATTCACGGATACTCAGTCTTTCTTACTTCTCCAGAACTCTGCCTAGTGTGCCATTCTTTCCTCCAGCCATCTCACATTGGTGCAGTGTCTTTTGGCCAAGGGAAAAAGCACAGAGTAGCTGGCATTTGGTTTTTACATTCATAAGAAAACCAATGTGGTTAGCTTTCTATATTTGTATGTGTGATAATCTCCCATAGTTAAAATGTCCCAGTATTTCAGCTGCTGAAATCTAGAAGTGAATGGTGAGAAATGAAATATTTATTACTATAAACTGCACTATGACTTTTTTGAATCTAGCAATTTTTCAAAAGATGCATTCCCCATCTTAACAAATGACAACATTCCTAGTGCTTATACTGACCTTAATTTGCACCCTTGGTTGTAATGTTTCAGTAGCTAAGCAGAGACATTTCTGTAGAGTAGCTAGTCTAACCTTGACCACACTTGGTGAAAGCAGTATTGATCTGCTTTTGGTTTCCTGTTCAGAATGTATACAAGGTATATTTTCTCACCAGGCCACAGCAATTAATTCAACTTAAAACTGACGCTTTAATCACTTTGCCATGCTCAGTTATATTTGGGTAGAAGAGAAGAGGCTGACAAAAGGTTAGTGGTTTGAATCACAGCTGGACAATAATTCTTAACATTTTTTGTCTTTGCAGTATGTACGGGGCTCTGACCCTGTACTGAAGCTCTTGGATGACGATGGGAACATTGCTGAAGAGCTGAGCATTCTCAAGTGGAATACAGACAGTGTGGAAGAATTCCTGAGTGAAAAACTAGAGCGCCTCTAAATCTTCTGTGTGTGGGGGGGAAATTCCCGGTCTTTTTCTCACATCATTTTTCATTATGGTAATCTTCTCAGACAAAGTGTGATAAACCCCGGAAATCATTCCAGTTTCTGCATTAATTTGAAAGCTATCCCATATTGTGTGGTTCTCAACATCTTTTAATTAGAAACAGAAGCTTCAAGCACAGCACATTTGACAAATTGGCAGGCTCGACAAATGGCCTGTCCTCGTACATTTCAGCTCATCTTAGTGGATGGAGATCATTAATGAAATGCTTTGAGACAAATGTAATGCAAATACTGAAATTTGTTATAATTGGGCTGCCTCTTGTTTTTTTTACTGGCAAGCCTATTTGTCAGCTCCCAATAATTGAGATGATTACTATGCTTTTTTATATGCTGCCTCTCTTTGTACATTGATGGAAAGTTGGAACCAAATAAGATGTACTCTGCCTCCCAAAGAGATGCTTGCTTGCCTCCCCTGCATTTTTGTATTTCCCAGCTGTCCTTTTTTTATAGAAACATTATTTACAATATTCATAATGAATGCCTGCTCTCAAAAAATCATTTGGAGTCTTGTTTGGATGGAGGAACTCATGCTCTGGAGTGATTGGAGAACACTAGGGAAACGCACGTTAATGATGACTACATGGAAAGCCTTGACAAAAGGCATGTGTAGGTCTGATGTCAGGTGTACTTTCTTTAAATGTTTCTTCCTTCATTCAGCAGACACGTGTTCAGTGGAGAGGGAATATATTGGAAATGGCAATAAACCATAAACATCTGTTTCCTATGTCCCATTCTTTCCGGAAATCGTTGCAAAATAGTCTTCTTTAAGACACTTTGGTGAGCTTCTTCGGACAGTGCTGTCATAGGAAGGTTATCCAATCAGTGGGTTGGATCCCAAACTTTTCTGCTCACACAAGGTACTTCTTTCAGAGGATTAGACTGTTTCTTCCTCTCCAGCCTACTAATATCCCTGAAATGCTGCTCATGGGGGACAGGAGAGACCTTCAGGAACAGGATGAAAGACAAGAACTGGGGGTCTGCAGTAGGAAGAAGGAATTGGTGGAAATCATCCCATCCCTCCCATCAGTCTGAATTGAACAGTGTACCTGTGCCGAACAAGAACATCTGTTGAAACAAGTTTCTCTCTCTCTCTCATTAACTTTTTTCACACTTAGATAGTGCTTGTGATCATTCAGGTAGAACTAATTCCTCTACTTGTGGCACACCACCGTCCGGGTTGTGGAGGCAGATCAAGGCGGGTAAAGGTATAACTAGTCCATAGATAGATTTGGTTCTTACCATTGTTACAATTATATCAAATATTGCACCTGATTGTTTAAAGTGGATATTTCTTTAGTACTCACTCCATTTCACTGCAAAATCCCTTCTTAAATATTGCTTTAACCATTTTCTAACATTCAGATTGCCTACATACACTTTGCCTGGGCTATTTCACACAGATGCTTAGATGTCCACCTATATTTGTTTGTTTGTTGTAAGTTGAATACAAAAGAGTGAAGGGAAAAATAGGCCTTCCAGAATGAACAAGTGCAGAATGGTATATAGGTGTCATGCAGGAAAGAAATCTAAGGGGGAGAATTGAATTTTCTAAGAGTACAGAAATGTTAGTGTTGTATCTTATGACAAGGAGTCAGCACAGCAATAAGAAAAGAATAAAAACAAAGAAATGGGATGCAGTTCTTTTTGCAATCGCAAATAGGACCAGCCAGATTTTCAGCATTTTTAAATAATCACTGATTGCAATGGGGTACTGTTAAACACACATTGAACTCTCCTATTGAACTCAAAGGGACTTCAAAGCACTTCTCTTTATGGGGCTATGCCTTTCTATTTCTATTTTAAAAGATGCACTGTGCATATGTTTCATTCAATCAGTATAAAGAGAAGTTGTAAAATAAATATTTTTAATCAAAACAGTTGAATAAAGGAAAAATAGGAGCAAAATACACAATCATTTGGGGGGTGTCTACACTTGTTAAAGCAACACAGTGTTTACAGCCATGGTCATGCCTGGGACTATTGCTACATGCCATCACAACGCTTGCTCTCTTTTAAGCTAGTTCTATAGAAATGATTGGTTTCAGATAGACTGGAGTTGTGTAATTTTGGAGTTTATTGTAGGTAAAGGAAACTTTCAGACTCCTACTGTAAGGAGTAGATTGCTTTCAAGGTCAAAGAAGACAGTGTTGTCAGTGAGTCATGCATGGGCCAAGAAGACAATAAATGCAGCTTATTGATGATCTTTGCATTATTGATCTGGTCCAGACTGTCTTGCATACCAGAATGGTCTTTTATAATGTTATAGAAGTTAGCAGTCTGCATTACAATGCTCTAGCATTAATGAGAGATTCCATTAGATGGCTATTCTGGTCCCCTTTTCAGCTCCCTCCCAGCAGCCTGTACTAGACAAAATTAAGATCAGCCTTCCTGGAAATGTCTGATATGACTGGCTGCTTGTCATTCTATCCGTCGCTTCTGGTGATCCAACTGCCCATATCCAGCTCTTCTATAAAAAGCCAGTATTTCTAGCACATGTGGCAAAAGCCCCAATTTTTTTTTCTATACTAAAATGTTTAAAGGAAATTAGTTAAATACATATTTGCATTCATTTTTAGTTTCATTTTTCAGATATCAATCAGTTACAGCATTCTTTCAAGCTTCTCAAGCACAGTGACTGTCATACATTTAAAGGAATTGAGTCGTAAAACCTACTGAATATTGGAATGTTAGGGGCAAGAACTGATGGCAAGGAAATGCTGTATGCTTGCTCAGAATAAATGACCAATAACTGCAGACTGTTTAAATATTGTACATTGTTCTTTGTCCCTGCCCCACTCAGCCTAATCACATCTTGCATGCAAACCATATCACACTTTTTCAATATACTTTTTCAGTATGTTCCACCCACCTTGATTCTAAACAGGGGTCATTTCATAGAAAAAGAGCTAGGGGAACTCATTAGCATAACTCATTAGCATATGCCACACCCCCTGACATCAGGGGCCCGGCGGCGGACCTGCAAGGCCAGCGGGAGTGCGAGGAAGCCCCGCCAAGGCCCTCCCTGGCCCCAGGCAGGCAGGGGTGGGGAGAGGCGAGGAGGAAGCAACTTACCCTCCCTCTTCTCCTGCCTCCTCCTGGCTGAATGAGGGTTGGAAGCGGGGCGGCCGGAAGCAGGGGGCAGGGCTTTGTCATGTGCCCCGCCCCCTGCACCTCACCCGGGGGAAACTGCGTTCCCCCGCGTTCCCCCCCGAAATGACCTCTGATTCTAAACAAGGTACATTTTATTATGTGGTTCTATACAGAATTTGATACTTGAACAACAGAGATGGAAGTTTTTTGTTTTTAAAGATTCTAGTCATCTTATGGCTTTGATAGGGTTTGCCCCCCACCAGGGCTTCTGTGGGTTACTCTTGTGGACACTAGGAACCCTCAAGTAAAGGACCCAAGGAGCCTAGACTAGAGCACTGTGGAAAACAGGGTGCCGGACTAGTTGGACTACAAACCTGATCTGACAGAACTCTTCTTCTAAATGTGGCAATTTTTAAGCAGCCAGCGGAAAGAAGGTAGAGTTTTACCTCCCAGGTTGGATTAATCATTACAGAAATTGCTACCCCCATGTTAGAGTGATGTGGCAGCATTTGGAATTTGCTTTGCTTACAGTGCTGGGAGAAGTCCCTTGGATAAAAAAGCAAGGAGTGTGAAAACAGGGTTGCACTTACCTGTAACCGTTGTTCATCAAGTGGCCGCCTGTGCAGGCACACATGGGGACTGCATGATTGCAGGCCAGCTGCAGAGAAGAGCTTCCAAGCTTCCCAGAGAAGTTTCTATGGTCTGGAGTGCTCCTCATCCCCTCTGTTTATAGAGATCCCTTTTTCTGCCAAAGGGTCACATGCCACAGGCAGGGTGAGCACTCCTCCCTCCATTCCCTTCACAGCTGTGAGGAGGTCCCTGCACATTCTGCAATCCACAGCAGGGAAAGGAGGGAGGGATTTGTACCTGCACAGGTGACTCGATGCACAATGGTTACAGGTAAGTGCAACCCCATTTTTATCGTGGCTTCTATGCAGTCCCACATGGAAGAACTGCAAGCTCACTTACCAAAGGAGGCAGGTGTGGGTGGATCAGCAAAAAATCATCTGTAACATCACCTTTCCCACTGCAGCTTCTTTTGTGGAGTCCACATCCATTGAGTAGTGTTTGACGAACATAGAAGGAGTGGACCACATTGCTGCTCTGTAAACATCCTCCAGCGCAAGTCTGGCATGGAAAGCTGCCAAAGATGCCTTGTGGAGAGAGCTTTTATGGGAATGGGGCAAGAAATCTTAGCTTCATCGTAGCCTGTTCTGATTGCTGGAACCACCCACCTAGAGAGAGACTGAGTTGATATGGTGTAATGATTCCTTGTTTTGATGTGTGTGTGTTCCTTTAAATGTTAGTTTGACTGCAGTAATGCAAGGAGGGCGATAGGGAGAGATGTGTGTGCTGTGATTGGCCGATGACTGAGAGTGTGGGAGGAGATGTTCTGAGAGGAGGAATATCTGTGTGTGTTTTATGACAGAGTTTAGAATGTTCTGTGTGTCTTTGGAGAGAAGTGTGAAAAGCTTTAAAGAGAGTCTGTGGAAAGACAGAGAATCTATAAGGAAAAGAAACAAGCTGTGTCTAAACTGTGTGATTAGACCAATGTTTTATCTTGTGTGGAAAAGTCAAAGAGTTTAGCCGGTTTGGCTACACATATGAGGAAGAGAGAATCCTGTCAGAGTGGAATTTTGATGTCTGACTGGTGTGACACCAAGCTTGCTAGTTATATTTTACAAGTTCCTTTTCCCAGAAACCTATTTTGTTCTTATTTCAATAAATCCATTTTTGTTTAAATATCCCAGAATTCAGTACAGTACTTCCTCAGGGCCACATAGTCTTCTGAAGTGCTCAGACCCTGGGTTATACTACCAAAGGAGAAAGAGTTGGAATTTTAAATTCCTGGTAGCAGCAGAAACTACCAAGTTCATATACACAAAGTGTGAATTAAAAAGTAAAACTGTTTCCCCCATAAGCTAGCACATCACAGAGTATGATTTAAAGGAAAAACAGCCCCCCCCCCCAATAGGAAGGACGCCACATATGGCTTTTCCTTTATTTGGGCCTCTAAAACATATGAATAAGTTCCTATTTTTCTGACTTCCTATGTCCTATTAAATAAAAAAAAGGAATGACCTCACATCTAGAGTGTGTAGTGTTTGTTCAAACGGTGCTGTTAAGAGACAAGAAAAACACTGGCAGGTTGATGTCCTGGTTGAGATGGAATTGTGACACCACATTAGGTAGAAATTCTAGGCTAGGTCTGAGCACTACTTTGTCCAGGTGGAACTTAATGAAAGGAGGGTCACATTGGAGTGCACAGAGTTCACCTATCCTTTTGGTAGAGATGACTGCCACTAAAAAGGTGGTCTCATAAGAAACGAACGACAACTCAGCATTGGCAATGGGTTCAAAATGTTTATATATTAGCTTTGATAGAACTAGAGACATACTCCATTGGGGAACTGGGGTACAACAGGTAGAAAACAGGTATCAAGTAACCTCTTTAGAAATTTCTTGGACTCAGGTACAGAGAAAACTGACGGACCTCTAACTGGGTTATGGTGGGTAGAGATTGCAGCTAGGTGAACCTTTTTTGATGAGGCTGC